ATACACTTGTGTAGCCTATGGCACCACTGTTATGTATTTTGTTAGAACATTAGTTACCATGGGACGAGAGCATCCTGGGCCAGTTTCAGCCTAGTCCTATTGTATGTAAAAAGGTTATTTATATTAAATGTGTCTTGAAGCGCCTTCCAAAGATCAAGAAGAACTTAGCACACCCTTTATTGTGCCCAATGAAGCACTGTAATTAACAGTAAGTGGTCAGGGTAAAGGGGAGTGGTCGGGGGACTTTTCGGGAAATCTTACCACACACTCAAGATATATGAGAGAGCTATGTAATTCTTTTATAGTAGTATATTGGGGAGTCAGAGGGGGGTCACTTCCCAGCAAAGCTACCACAGTCCCGGAGTTAATAGCAAGTGGCCTTGCCAACATGCTAATTGACCCAAGCTTGTTCCAAGGTCAGGGGGCATACAGTAACGGCCTTGCCAATGTACTGAACCAACCAGAAGTGGTGCTCAAAGGTCAAAGGGCTCAGATAGGTCCTGGAGCCCTGCCGAGTTGGACTCCTCCACAGACCCTGTGTTTCATTATGCAGATTTTGTCACTGTGAGAATGCACCCCAAGAGGCCCTACCTTCTCTTTGGTCATGGTGCAGTTTTGGACAGGCCTCTCCTTTTCTTTCTTTCTTTATTTTCTGATGAGACATCTAGGTCAACCAGAACTTTCTCTCAGAGTTCCCCTGAAGGTCTGTGCTAGAAAATGTATAAGTGGGTGCTTCCTATCTTGCATCCTTTTCCACCTCTGCCTTTCCTTTCTAAGCATAGAGGATAGGGATGTATGTTTAGTTGTGACTGCATCTCCCCTTCACTCCTAGGAACCTTGCCAATCTTGTGTGGATAACTTCCTGTACATCTGTGATGATATTTATCAGTGAGATGACATTATCACCATGGAAACCAGCATCCTGCTAATGTTCCAATTTGACATCAACATTCCCATCACCTATCATTTTCTGCACAAATATACTAGGCTTAGATGGAGGAGGCAGGGCTTCCTTCTCTCACTTCTGGATTAGGTCTTCCTATACCACTCAGAGTGACTGCCTAAGTAGTGGGAAATTTATGATTGCTTGCTTTCATTGCTTCTTTGAAGCTTTGATGTAAACGTGGTGATTGGAATTTTTTTCTCTCTAGAAGGTTGTTTCCTGCTTGGTTTGTCTCCCCAGTCATTGTTCATAGGACTCTGTTAAGTTGTATGATTATGCAGGTGCAGACAGAAGGTCCAGCCTTATTTCCAACACTGTGAGAAGGGACTATACATCATTGGGCAGAGCCCTATGCTCCCCTATGCCACCTGGACAGAGCCTCAAGGAGTGACCTCCTGAAGAAATTCATGTTAGAGAGGATTGAAATTTTAACCCAACTGTATCCCTATTTTCAAAGTTAGACAGCTTGATAATCTGAAAACAAACAAACAAACAAACAAACAAACAAAAAAACCCAAAAACCAAAACAAAACAAAAAAACCTGCTTGGAGTAGTACACTGTAATATTATTTGGCCCTTATTTTATGCCTAGAAAACAAATTTCTATATGTAGAATCAGCAAGATGCCCCATTAATGCAAGTATCAGCCATTTGCCTGATTTTATTCATAAAGTCTTAGGAAATTGTATTCCCATTCTCTGTCCTGTGTTTGGGGTGATATACACTGGAACAACTATTTCAGTTGTTAGCAGAGTTTAAATACTGTGCCAGATATTCAAAAGCTATTGCCTTAATCTAGGACCTCCCCACAACCCAGCAAGTAATATCTGCCACAGCAGGAGGCCACCAGAACTCTGTTCTAGTGTTGTGTCTGATTCGAATCACTATCCTGATTTGTCTGTGGCCATTTCTTACTGGACATTTTTATTTGAATTGAATCATACAATGTGTGGCCTTTTGTGTCTCACTTCTTTCATTTGCATGTTTTCAAGGTTCATCTAAGTCATAGTACGTACCAGTACTTCATTTCCTTTTATCAAATAATATTCCATTATATGGATATGCCACATTTGTTTACCCAGTTATGGATTGGCGGAAATTTTGGTTGCTTATACTTTTGGGGGTATTGTGAATAATCTGTGAACATTCATATGTATGTATGTATATGAATGTTCATGTACAAGTTTTTTGTAAACATTTATCTTTATTTTTCTTGGATATATACTTGAGAATGGAATTTCTGGATCATACCATAATGCTATGTTTAACCATTCAAAGAACTGCTAAACTATTTTCCTAAGTTGATGCACCATTTTACATTGCCACCAGCAGTGATCGAGGGTTCCAATTTCCCCATATTCTCTCCACCACTTGACTTTTTTGGTTACAGGTATACTAATGGGTATAAAGTTAGACCTTATTGTACTTTTAGTTTGCATTTCCTTGATGGCTAATGATATTTGAACATATTTTGTGTGCTTACTGGCTATCTGTGTAGCCTGTTTGGAGGAATATCTATTCAAATTCTGTTTCTTTAAATTAAAAAATAATTCTTTTAAGTTAAAAAATGCTTCCTTTATTACATAAAGCCAGTACTGCTACTTCTAAGTTCAACTGTTCATGCATCTCTGTATTGTTCCAAGTGTTATGCTTGTGAGTTAATGACAATCATGTCCAAGTATCACTGAGTGGTGGCTCCTTGAAAATGTGCTCCCTGGTACCTGCATCCCATTTCATGTTCAGTTGATAACAAGTGTATGCTCTAGAAAATTAAGTTTTCCCAGGCCCCAGAGTAAACATACTCACAATATTCTTCCATACATTACTGTACCAGGAGCAACAAACTTCTGAAGGAGACACAATCAAGTACATCATGGTTTTCTAGCTTGTCAATACACTGACATATTTTCATTAACAAAGAAGATTACAGACTTCCAACTTCAGAACCCTGGCATAAGGGATACTGAGGCAGGGCTCCCCAACCCAGCTCCAGCCCCGGGACCCAAAGCCAGAGACCCCTATCTCTGTCAGCAAGGAACGCCCTCAGCTCTGCAGCCACCCTACTTCCAACTTCAGACCCTTGGTGTAAGGGATACTGAGACAGGGCTCCCCAATCCAGCTCCAACCCCAGGATCCCCCAAGCCAGAGACCACTATCTCTGTCAGCAAGGAATGCCCTCAGCTCTGCAGCCACCCCACTTCCAACTTCAGACCCCTGGCATAAGGGAAACTGAGGCAGGGCTCCCCAGCCCAGCTCCAGCCCCAGGACCACCAAGCCAGAGACACCTATCTCTGTAGGCAAGGTAGGATTTTCTTTACTTCTCCTTTCTTTAATTTGTAAATTTCTCATTTCTCCTTACCACACAGGAACACCCTCAGCTCTGCAGCTACACCACTTCCAACTTCAGACCCCTGGCAAAACTGCTACTTTTCTTTATTTTCCTTATTATTTTCTTCCCACTTATTTGGTCCTCAGTTCCTTTATCTACAACATCCCTGGCAGTTTGTTTGTTTGTTTGGTTTTTTTTGGAGAGTTTTTTTTTTTCGCTATAGGGCACGTGCGCTCGCCAGAAAGACAGAGAGAGAGACAGAGACAGAAAGCGAGAAATCACCCCCCAGGGGGGATGGTCACACTGCAATCCCTTCTCCCCCATTTTCCTCTCGGGATCTTGGGCACGCACGCACACGCGCCCGGCGTGAGTTTTAAGCCACTGGGTCTGGGACGCGAACCGCGATTGACTACATGGGAGTCCAGCAACATAGCCATTACGCTAACTGCTGGTTCCCAACATCCCTGGCAGTTTGGCTACGTCTAGAATTACAGTTTTGAAATATTCTAGTCTTTTAAGACTCTCCGGGATCCTCCCTTTTACTGAACCACCTGTGAAAAAGGAGATACTTTTCTTTGTACACCTGAAGAGAATACTCCTCATTGGATCACATTGCTAAACACAAACAGAAGAGAGACTTTGACAGTCTTCAGTCCACTGCAAAAAGGAAATACACATGCTCCTATTTGAGGAAACATTCTCTTAGAAGGTATTCCAAAGGGAACACATCTACCAATGGTAGAAGTAGAAGAAGAACCACAGGTCTGAATAAAGCAGGAAAAAATGTCTCCATCAAAAGAACACAGTGACTCCCTTCCATTTCTTGAAAAAATAGAGGATATTACCAAAAAGTCCGAGGAAGAATTAGAACAAATAGTATGAGCTGGAACAGAAAAGAGACAATGAACTACAGGAGATGAGAAAGTCCTTCCACAATATGAAGGAAGAAATGGACACGCTAAGAAAGAATAAGATGGAAATATTAGAGGTCAAGGCTGTAATACAAGGAATCAAAAACTCTCTCAAAAGTATTGAAAGTCGATTAGATGATGCTAAAGATCGAATCTCTGATGTAGAAGATAAAACTTTGGACCTAGAGAACACCACCAAAAAGATAGAGAAAATTTTTTTAAAAATGAGGATAACATATGAGAAACACTAGATTCCATTAGATGCCCTAACATCCGAATAATTGGTATCCCAGAAGATGAAGAAACTAATAAGGGCATGGAAAAGATATTCCATGAAATCTTGGAAGAAAATTTCCCAAGTCTAGAGAGGCACTCAAGCATCCAGACGCAAGAAATACAAAGGACCCCAAATAGAATCAACCCCAGATCTTCCTCAAGGCATATCATAGCCAGACTGGCTAAAACCACAGATAAACATAAGATACTAAAACTGGCAAGAGAGAAACGAAAAGTAAGTGGCTTACAAAGGTCACCCCATCAGGCTAACTCCAGACTTCTCAATGGAAACAATGCAAGCAAGAAAATAATAGGAAGATGTATTGAAAGTGTTAAGAGAGAAACAATTTCAACCAAGATTATTACATCCTGCAAGACTATTCTTCATATGGAAAAAAAAGAGATTAAAATCTTCTTAGACAAACAAAACCTGAAAGAATTTGCTAGCCTCAGGCCAGCTCTCCAAGAAACCCTGAAGAAAGTACTGCTCCAGGAAAATTAAAGAAGTAAGAGCCAAAACAAAGGAGTAAAAGGCAACTAAGATAATGGCCAACTTAAATGGCGGGACAGGTCCAGCAACATCCATAATTACATTGAATGTTAATGGATTAAATTCTCCAATAAAGAGACACATACTGGCTGAATGGATA